CTTCTTCCTCATCCATGCAAGTACCTGGATCGCGAACCTTCGCATTCATTCATGTTACTGTCTGCAATTAAGTAGGCATAAAATATGTAATCAATCATCGGTTGGTCACTGACCTTCAGGGCGAAAAGGAGGTCCCGGTGTTCCATGCTGAGGTCGTGCAAAACCTGGCTAAAGGACTCCAACTGAGCACAGCGCTTTTCTACAAATTCGCGCGTTGAAGGATGGTCTAAAACAGGTGGAAATAGAAGATAAGGGTATCATAACAACTGACAGCAAGCGTATACTGCAACGGTGAGTAATGGTAATAGGAAGGAGGGGTGACAGCTGGCGTAACTTACTCTGCATGGTAGCCAATAGAGAATGCTTAGCGAGAAGGAAGAACCGTCTGGCATGAGTACCAGAAGCACCCGAGAGAACGGCGAAGTCTAGAGGAGGGAGGGGGAAATGAGAAAAAATCTTTACATCCTCTTCTTCTAGCAACCGCAATTTTGTGACTTTTACTGCAGGAGTAGCTTACTTTTGAGAATCTCGATGGCACAGACAAGAGTAAATTCGGGCAGTGTCAGAGCCAGCTCCTGGTAGAGGCGTCCTGTGATCGAAAGGTGATCGATAATACGAGTAAACGGGGGAAAGTAGCGCAGAATAACATTGCGCTCTTCAGCCGAGAAGTCGAAGTAATTGCATTTGCCCGTAGTGGGTTCATAGTCTCGCGCCAGCAGGAGCAACATGGACGCATACATGCCCTCGCGTACCAGTGCACCACGAGCCGCCAATTCCAATTGGTTGAAACCTGTTTCAAAAGTAAATCAAACGGCCGATCAGCATCGAGACACGTATGCATTCAAAAAACGCTGACGGACAGTGAGCACAGCGAGAGGGAGGGGGTGGGTAGATGAGGCGAGAGGAAGTTTCAGCACAAATCACCAGTCTCAGTAACAAGTTTGAAGGTTTTTAGACTAGGGGGATTGGAAGGCGAGCAACTACACAGCGGACTTTTCTTCCGCCTGATTTGGGTTGTAAATTTAGGTGTGCTGACTTCAAAATATGCCGAAACCGGAATTAAGCGAAAACCTCCCGCTGCTTCTGGTACCCTCGGATGCGAGAAAATAATTTACTTGACATCGGTGAATCCTTCTGTTTCCACTGCGTGCACGGTTGGAAGAAAACAAGATCTCAGAAAAGTTATCTGTAAGTGGGAGGCAAATAGACTCCGTATGAGCTTAACATACTGCAGAACTCTATGGAACATCCTGAGATATTATGCGGTCACATGCGCAGTAAACAAAGGAATCGTGACCCAATTCCAGAGCTGCAGTCCAGAAACGGAGTACTGGAGCCGGATGACCAAATGAAAGCTTCAGTCCCCTCTAGCTTCTTTCAATCGGTATTCACCCATGAAACAAATCCTCCTCTTCCTCCTCCTCTTCTTCCTCCTCCTCCTCCTCCTCCTCTCCCCTACCCAGACCAACAACAAAAGTTGGGAACCTTTACACGTGACGATGCCTTCGAACTCTTGCCTTCTTCAATAAGGACAGAATTACTCCGCCTGAAACATGCCCAATCACCTGGTCCAGATAGGATTCCTCCACTTGTGTTTAGAGAATTGGCCGACATACTATGTAAACCGGCGTCGATGATATTCAAAAAGTCAAAGGAAGAAGGTGAACTGCCCCAGAAATGGAAAACTGCTCTTGTCTCCCCAATCTACAAAGGAGGGTCCCGGCTGGAATCAGAAACTTGCCGTCCAATTAGTTTAAAATGCATTTCGTGCAAGGTCATAAAATGACTTATAAAGAGACAGTTAGTGACGTCTCTGGAGCAGAGGTACATTTTATGTGCTGCCCAGCACGGCTTTCGGCGGGGACACTCATGTCCTACGAGGGTTTGTTTACTCGCAGGAAAAATGGACAAAAGTCACAGACCGCGGTCACCCAGTTGATGTCATATTTTCGGCTTCAAGAAGGCGTTTGACAGCGTCCCTCATCAGCGGCTCTTATACAAAGTCTGAGAGTATGGTATCCAAGGTAAGGTTTTCAAGTGAATAAAAGTTTCCTGTCAAGCAGGCTGCGAAAAGTAATTGTTGATAGCACAGAATCCGAATGGGTAACAGTAGAAAGTGGCGTTCCGCAGGGATCAATCATAGGCCCTCTTCTGTTACTCCTCTATATAAACGACTGCATTGAGAAAATGAACTGCAATACCATTATGTTTGCAGATTATATTAAAATTTGGAAAACCGTTAACTTGCTGGTTGCGCGCAGGAACTAAAAGAAAATCATCATAAACTGGCTGTGTAGTCCAGCAAATGACTCCTGACATTTAACGGCAAAAGTAGCTCATGTAGGTCCACCATATACCCCTAGTCCCAGAATTTTGTCCTGCAAAAACGGTGGTTATAGAGTTGCCCATTTAACATATCAAAATATTTAGTCCTGCGCTCGGAATCGTGACGGAGACGTTTCCTCAAACACCACTACTGTATGAATGAGACTCCACTAAAAGAAGTGGACAGGCACAAAGATCTAGGCATTTGGACAACTTCAAACCTACTGCTCTCTGAACGTTGTAAAAGGGCTGCCTAAAAGGTGACGATCATCATGCACTGGATCAGGCGTGCTCTCATAGTGTTTCGCCCGAGCTGTTTGCGCGGATCTTCAGTACTTTCGGTAGACCGCATTTAGAATACGAAATGCCAGCATGGATGCTACGCATTCAGAGTGACAATGATCCCGTCTGAGCGCGAAAAGGGTCATCAAGGGTTACCGTCCTTAATTTACAAAAGTATACAGTTTACAAAAGGTCACTGTCTTTTTAAACCGGATTTAGGCAGGCCTGCCGGTCTAAATTGAGCCTCGAAGATAGACGATGAATGCGTTTGTCTGCATCTACGGGCCTGTGTGAGATGACACTTTACGCGAGAACGCTCCTGTGACCGATCGACGAGAAGCCACGTGGAGAACATTGTGGCGACACCGCCTCGCTAGTCGCCAACCTTGAGACTGAATGAGTTGTTTGAAGTAAGTGACGATTTTCTCGCGCGCGAATCTGCGATGGAGACGGTATAACTCCGTTTCGGTGCAAACAACCATTGGCAGCCCTACCACCAACCCCTCTGCCGCACCTTTCCTCGCACTACATCAACACATTCCACAACCTCTACCGCCTGCATTTGGCCACAGCGCTGTGTTCCATACCGGTTATGTAGCAGAGACGTCGGCGCCACCTTCTATCCAGACAGGTCGTCTAATGCTGTAGCTCATCCGTTTGTACACCCATTTCGTTAATATACATTCTACTCATATCATGCGTATTATATGGTCATGACTCCCAGAAGTTTTATCATCTCGCCTATCTTATGGATGAGTGTTGACGTGTTTAACAGCTTTACTCAGCTCTGACTTGGCCCGGATTTATCCCCGGCATCCGACGTTACTCGGTGCGTGTGTTTTCTCTCTCATTTTCTTTCTTTCTTTCCTTCTTCCTTTCCTATCCCTTACACAGCCTGCTCTGAAATCCTCACCTCCGGCTTATGTTCCTTCTTAGAACTGC